AAGATGGATGGTGTAGTCCATTCCGAGTGGAGTGGCCTTCTCCACGAGGTCAAGACGCTCCCCGCTGTCTGCCAGCGTCGTCGCATCGATGCTTAGGTCCTTGCCATCCAAGTGCTTGGTTCATGAAGCGCAGGCAGAGACAGCCACAAGTTAAGGCAAGTCAGACGTGGCATGGCTGTTTGTGTACGACAAACAATCACAAGCACATATATCCACACACGCACACCTTCTCTCACTTAGGTTATCGAATGCACAAGTCAAGCGGGAGTACTCCCGTGTAGATGTGGTGCACGTACCAGCTCCCGCACATCGTCGCCGCGAATCTCCACCGTGAGGGTTGTCGAGCCAGAGATGGTCTTTGCATGGTCATGTGTGTGCAAGGTGAGAATGTGATGAGGACCACGACGCGTTTGCAATCCAAGTGTGTGTGTGTGTGTGTGTGTGTGTGTGTGTGTGTGTGTGTGTGTGTGTGTGTGTGTGTGTGTGTGTATGTGTATGTATGTGTATATATGTGTATGTGTGTGCATGTGTGATTGTGTGTGTGTGTGTCTCCGCTTTTTCAATCTCCATGCAACCCCAGTCAATTGAATATCACCTTGGCGGCAAAGTCAATGGTCAAGTCCAAGGAAAAGTGGGTGCAGGCTGCATCCGCGCGCGCAGATGAGCAAGGATCGACCTTCTCTCCAGCCATGATGAGGGTTGCAGTGCAGTCGTGGGTAGCAGCTGGTGGCAGTGATTGGTTCGTTTGCGACGAGCAATGTCAATGTCAGCCAGTGGGATTGCAGATAAATACTGAATGATATCAGCAAATAATCGGCAAGTTGGTGGTGTTTGGAGGTCTCCTTGTTTGCAAGACGCAACTGCACTGTTTGCGTGTCAGTCATTGTCTCTTGTCGTTGTCGTTGTGACATGGTGGTGTGTGTGTGTGGGGAGGGTACTCGCGTAACAGAGAAGAACAATCACACGTGTAGTGGGAAGGAAGGAGGGGCTGGTGTTAAGAGTGTGTAGGCAAAAGAAGAAAGCAAACACAAGCCCCGGTCAAACGAAAGGAACAGGGATTGAAAACAACACGTTGTCAGTTGCGCAGAAAAAAGAAAGCAGCAGCATAACCCGAGCACAGGCAGGCTCAGGCAGAGGAGGGCTGGGATGAGTGATGGCCCATTTCATTTGTCAGGGCTCTGTGCCTGTGCTGGTGAAGGTGAGCTTCGGTGTGCTCTGTTCAGTTTGCCTTCTTCTGGGACGCGCGCCACTGCTTGATGTCGCGCTCTGCGTTGTTGTAGATGCGCTTGGCAAGCTCCGGGCGGTACCCAAACAGGAACATAATCTCAAGGAACACAAAGTACGGCGCTGCGGTTGTGTGTGTGCATGTATGTATGTGTGCGTGTGCGTGTGTGTGTGCGTGCGTGCGTGTGTGTAATTGTGTGTGTAATTGTGTGTGTGTGTGTGTGTGGATGTGAGTGAATGAAAAATCAATGCAGTCACTGTCACTGCACAACAGGGCCAATTCATGCGAAGGTAACGCACCGAGGTAGAAGCTTTGGAAAATGTTGTCGAGGAAAGCCGGTGCACGCTTCTCGTACGCGTAGTGTCCGTAAATCTGCATCGACCAGCTGACACGCAGAACACAGCCAGTGCAGTGTTGGTAGAAGCGGTGGTGGTGGTGGTGGTGGTTTCGCGCATGTAAATGTGTGTATGAGTGTGTGTGTGTGAGTGTGTGTATGTGTGTGAGTGTGTGTATGTGAATGTGTCTGTGTATGTGTATGTGTGTGTGTGCGCGTGTGTGTGTGTGCAGTGTCCTGGGATAAAGGGAACCGAAGCATGAACAGATGGCGCTGGAAAGTTTGAACACACCAAGCAATCTGGATGGCGGTGGCGTAGAGGAAAGGGTGCTCAGACGTGGAGTAGAAGGTGTACGAGGTGATGCCGCCCAGACCTGTGGCATGCGGTGTGGAGGGACAAGCAAGCACAGACAAGCAACACGAGCACACGCACTTGCCATGTGAGACGACACATCCCACGCGACCACAGTGATGGCGACACCGGTCCCGCCCCCACATTCACATTCACATTCACATTCGCACCCACACCACATGCCCAGCCATGCTACCACACTCGAGCACATTCATGCCACAACTGATCGCACTCGACTGACCAAGGAGAATCGAAGCAAGAGAGCCAGCAAAGGGTTCCATGGCAATGTAGCCAGCGGCGTAGATGCCAGCGGCTGAACGGAAGTGCAGTTGTAGTACATGGTGGTGATCAGTGAGGTGGGGCATGGTGGCAACATCATCGTGCCGTTGCTCAAACGACATTGTCGGACGGACACATCGCCGCGTAAGAATGAGATGCACAATGGGCACAGCTGTCTCACCGAGAAGGCCACCGTGGAAAGGCATGTCACCAAGTCCAACTGTTTCAAGAGCAGGCTTCGCGACTTCGGGCATCTGCACGATGTCAGAATGGGTGTGAGGACGCAGCACACACACACGCGCACACGATT